GTTTGAACCTGCCAACTTTGCTGTATGTGGCTGGTACTGTAACCACTGTGCTATGGGTGCCAAGCCATTTGTTTGACTTTTGTAGACTTTTATTCTTATGTTTTTAGTTCTTTTTTTAATACCAGTCATTTTAAACACACTTTTAAAAAGTCTTTGTCCAATAGTTCAAGTTCTAAATAAAGTTCTTGCATATTAAATACTGACTTTTTTATCTCGTCAACTATTACACTCGGAGGATTGCTTATTTCCTTGTGGTTGATGTAATTTTTGGTTTTGGTAAGCTTATCTTCAGCCGAGTTTTGTCATTGTTTTGTTAATCCTGGGAAGGTTGGGATATCTTGTCCCTTGCTAGTCATCTTGTATTTGCCTCTGCCTAAGGAGTATCATTGACCTTGAGGTAATTTAAGTACTTTCTAAGCTTAGACATTCCTGGATCTCATGGGTACTGAAATGGACACTCTAAACCCAAGTGAAAATGAATCTATGATTTTTAAATCACAGAATTTTAGCCAGTCATGGTGGCTCGTGCCTGTGATCTTAGCACTCTAGGAGGCTGAAGTGGGTGGACTGTTTGAGTTTAGGAGTTTGAGACCAGCCTGAGCAAGACCCCATCTCTGCTAAAAATAGAAAAATAGCCAGGTGTTTTTGTGGTGAGAACCTGTAGTCCTAACTACTTGGGAGGCTAAGGCAAGAGGATCACTTGAGCCTAAGAGTTTGAGATTGCTATGAGCTATAAGGCCATGGCACTCTACCCAGGATGACAGCATGAGACTCTGTCTCATAAAATAAATAAATAAATAATAGAACTTAAAAAAAAACGTTCCCAGCAGCTTAAGACAGATGTGCTTCTTTTATCTCTTGGTGCCAGTGGACAGATTATTTTTCTTATCTACTCAGAATGTGGCCCTTTGAAATTCCTGGTGCTATGCTGGGAGCAGGAAATGGGGGTAGAATAAAGATCTTACTTAATCCAACTCTATTTCTTCTCCCAGGCCCTAATCCTTATCTCCAATTCCCATGTGGACACTAAAGTCCAAGCTGATAGATTTCTCAAAGTCTACAAGATTCTCTGGAGTAGCCACAGCATTAGCTCACTGGCTATTCATACCCTTACTTTTTTGTAGCTCCATTATTCATTTAAATAATTAGTTGTATTTAGTAAACATTTAAAGATATTTATATTGGGAGATCTTTTAGATTGTCTGGTTTGCTATGTTGCCAGATTTCCAAATCTCTCTATACTTTAATTCCTAGGTCCTTGAGGTTCTCCATCTATAGGTTTTGTGCTGTTTTGTAATTGTTGATGGTGGTGGGCCTAGAAAGGCCCTATTTTGTCACTGCTTGCTATATGTATTTTTTATTTACTTTAATAATGCTCAACAGGTATTAAAACTTCCTGTTTCTATCCATTATCTAAGGCCAGTCTTCAATGATATTTTTCCAAGTTCAATTTTTTTCACAGAAAGCTTATCATTACTAAAGTTAGCAGTCAAAATGATTAATTAAAGTAAGATAACTTTGTACTCTTATCATGACCATATTTCCTACCTTCCATTTCTGTTCCTTATTTATTAAATTATATGTCTGTGTTTATAATTTCTTTTCTTGACATTAATTCATTCCCATAAATCAATTTTGTCAGAAGTTCTATGTGGAAATTTAATATCATACAAAGTGTGATATTTCTTGACATAAAGATGTATTTTTATGAAGTAGGGTTAGCATGAAACATAACACATTCACCAAAGCTGCTAGCACAAAACTAACCTTTAAAGTTTTGATGAATTAAAAAAATTGCTATGTAGGCTCGGCACCTGTAGCTCAAAGGCTAGGGTTTGAGCCGTGTATACCAGAGCTGGTGGGTTCAGATCCATTCCAGGCCTGCCAAACAACAACTACAACCAAAAAAAAAAAAAATGGCTGGGTGTTACGGTGGGCACCTATAGTCCCAGCTACTTGGGAGGCTGAGGCAAGAGAATTGCTTGAGCGCAAGTTTTGAGGTTTGCTGTGAGCTATGACACCATGGCACTCTACTGAGGGCAACAGCTTAAGACTGTGCCTCAAAAAATAATAATAATAGGCTCAGTGCCTGTGGCTCAAGTGGCTAAGGCGCCAGCCACGTACAACTAAGGTAGTGGGTTCGAATCCAGCCCAGGACTGCCAAACAACAATGATGGCTGCAACCAAAAAATAGCCAGGCGTTGTGGTGGGCGCCTGTGGTCCCAGCTACTTGGGAGGTGGAGGCAGGAGACTCGCTTGAGCCCAGGAGTTGGAGGTTGCTGTGAGCTGTAGTGCC